TGACAGGCCCAGCTAGCTTAAGCCTAGGACACACTAGCGATTCTGCACGCTGCCCGGCAGCGTTTAAACAGCGTGCAAGCTTGGCACTCGCCCGCTCGCCAATGTCGAGTGAAAATAATATCGGGACCGGGCGAGTGAAAGCTAAAGCTGACTCGCCATGTTGGCGGTAAAATAATTGTCTAGAACTTTAATCAAATGTTGGTTCCTTACGTTATATATCCAAACATTGATGAAATTACAGTTCTAGCGATTGTGAAGGGCGCTATCCGACTCCTCGACCACGAACATCCTCACTTTGTTATATTATCAAAGGTCGACGAAAGAAAGCAGCCCGCGAGAGCGCGCAGCGCCAGCACAGCGTTGCTGTGTATACGTGCCTGGGGCGCATATTGATTGATGTACGGGGGGGGGGGGGAGTGCAGGATTGTTTAAAAAGTCACGTTGGCCCTGGTTGTTAACAAATCAATAAAATCGGCGAAACGTGGCATTTCATTGACGGGCAAAGCAGCCGAGAAAAAGTAATTGTAAACATGTATGTTTCCGTTTACATGCTCGCATGGGCTGCCATCGCACAACTGGCGATTCATAAAAAAATATGGCGTAGCAAATGGCTGAAAATACATCGCGAATGCGATGCGATACGGGGAAATTATTCCCTGAATACCGTTCGTGGAATTCCTCCTGTTTCTCTATCTCTTTCTATCTCCACCTCTCTATCTGTCTCTCACTCTCTCGCTGTATCTCTCTTGGCTCTCTCTCTCACTCTTGCTGTATCTCTCTTGCTCTCTCTATCTCTCTCTCTCACTCTTGCTGTATCTCTCTCAGTGCCTCGAAATAAGAAGAAAAAATGTGGTTGTCCTCGCGGACACCCAGGCATCAAATCAAGTGTTGTCCGCAACAATTTCTGGTTGTCCAAAAAAATTCCCAAATCTCTATTTTCAATCACATAATATATGGTCAGGAAAACACCCCAAAACAGTGGTTGTAGCCAAGATTTTTAACAGGCGTGGCCAAAAAACAGCAACTGCACGAAAATAGTGGATGACTTAATATTTTAATGCTCCTCCGCCTCCCTCTCCACACCTACGGCTCATTCTACCTTCTCTGCAATCTTTTTTTGGGTGCCATGTGAAAAGGCGATATTGTTCATTGTTCTCTTGCTCCCAAGATATGTAATTGTTCAGTGGCGGGTCTGGATTCCAAGAGGGTTGAAAACAAGCGGGGGGGGGTATGGGGGTCCTCCCCCAAAATTTTGAAAAATGTAGATCGCAGGAGATTGGTATTGCAGCATTTTTAGAAAGTACATGTACCAGCCTTCATTCTGACTACAACAATTCTCTTTTTTAGAACTTTTTCGGATCAACATTGAATCCCAACTGCATGTTCGTTTGTTTTGCATGGGCAAAGCCCTCGGGAAAATTTTCAAAATAATAATGGAATAAAAATACCAAATGTAGGGTGAACTTGTCGCTGTTGCTGGTTATCCAAGATCCGAGTTCACCTCTCATAAATCCAAGAAAACCTGCCATATACCAGTGTTGGAAATAGCAGCTGGTATACGTCGCTTTCCACACCATGATAATGCGGTCGCCGCCAGGCAATACAGTGCTCTGGAGACCCCTGCAAGAAAAACATAAATAAAGTGCGTTTTTTCGTCAACTTATTTTCTTGCGTTGTCCAGCCGGACATAGTTCCAGATGGTTAGGTTGGTCCGGCACAAATTCTGGTTGTCTCGACAAAAAAAAACCGGACAACGCTTATTTTCGGGCACTGTCTCTTGCTCATCTCTACTCTCTCTCTCTCTCTATCTCTCTCTCTCTCTCTCATCTATCTCTTCTCCTGCACTCTAATGCTGTATCTCTCTGTGCTCTATTCTATCTTCTCTCTATCATGCTCTCTCTCCTCTCTCTATCTCTCTATCTCTCTCTCTCTATCTCTCACTCTATCGCTCTCTCTCTTCCTCTTGCAGAAAGGAGGGCTTGACTACCTACGTAAGGAGAATCCGAGTCTTCTTCCTCCACCTCTCCACCTCTCTGTCTCTATCTCTCACTCTATCGCTCTCTCTCTTCCTCTTGCAGAAAGGAGGGCTTGACTACCTACGTAAGGAGAATCCCGATGTCTTCTTCCTCCACCTCTTCACCTCTCTGTCTCTCTCTCTCTCTCTCTCTCTCTCTCTCTCTCTCTCTCTCTATCTCTCTCTCTCTATCTCTCACTCTATCGCTCTCTCTCTTCCTCTGCAGAAAGGAGGGCTGACTACCTACGAAGGAGAATCCCGATGTCTTCTTCCTCCACCTCTCCACCTCTCTGTGTCTCTCTCTCTCCTATCTCTGTCTTCCTCTTGCAGAAAGGAGGGCTTGACTACCTACGTAAGGAGAATCCCGATGTCTTCTTCCTCCAGGAGACAAAATGTAGCAAGGTGAGACACCGAGCGAACACGCACTCTTGTTTTATTCTCCCGCCGACACAGATGGCGCCACTGATCACACAGTAATGATAATGTGGGGGTGTTGCTATCCCCCGGGCGTGGAGTGCTACTGCAACGTGGCAGCACTAGTATTAGGATTAATATGATTAGTATTAGGTTAGGGTTAGAGTTAGGGTTAGGGTTAGAGTTTTTGCATCATGATATCTCCCCACACCATAGATTAATTTTTCTTGGGGATCACACCCCCTATTATATCAGCGGTCTGATATATTGATTTTTAGCTCATCAGGCAGATGCAGCTTGTAGAATCGCATGATCGTCCGTCCGTCCTCCGTCAGCTCGTCGCGTCGTCCGTCCGTCCGTCAACAGTTGGGCACAAATCTTAACGCTTGACGTTACGGTCACGATATTCGGGACGTGCGGGGCGAATCCGAAAAACACGAGCTTAGCGGATGTGGAAGCTGAGGGTGTCAAAGGTCAAAGGTCAAGAGGTGCTAAAAGAAGGGGAACATTCCCTCCTTAACTTAAGCGTATAGGAGGATATTGCAGAATTGCGGCACAAAATCTAAACGCGCTCGATCTAGTGCTCGTGATAGTCGTGTTATGACGATCATGGTAGGAAAGGCCAATCCCTGTGCCTGGACACATCAGTTGGTAGTGTCATCAGGTCATAAGGTCAATGGGGCACAGGGCAGATTCTGTGTTTGAAGGACAATTCCGGTCTGACACTACGCAGGACCATCTGCCAGCGCACCACACACGAAATCAAGTTTCAAATAAACGACAATTACATCTGGATGAGAGCGATTCGTAAAAACTCTTTTTGTTTCAGTAAGTTGACCCTACCATCATTTTATGGGCTTTATTGAAAAAGACGAACATGAAAAATGGTGCCTTATCCAAGACTGAGAAATCGCGAAGAGTAAGTGATCTGAATAATTACTTTGACTTACTCAATGAGAGTGAACATTAAGTAAACATGGCGATTTGTTAGCGATGTTAACAAAGCGCACAGTGAACTGCTTTTTGCTATTAGAGCCCTCCCCCACCCTCCCCTTCCCTCCCTTCCCCCACGCCTCCCCCGCCCCTTCCCCACACCTCCCCCCCTCATCTGCGATAGTGGCGGCATGTCCTACACAAATGATGGTAACGCAAACTGCGGTGTCTGCATATCGGCGCTACACAAATGGTGGTACGACGCACGACCTGACAATTTTTACGTTTATAACCGTAGCCAACAGACCTGCAATGAGCCCAGCGCTCTGCGGCCTCTTGTTTAGTGTTACGGTATGCCTTGGAACGGGGTGTTGAAGTTAGGGTACCGTTACTGTTATGTTATTTGAAGGTAATACGTCAACTGTATTCACGTGACTCTCAGCTTCACGCCCGGAGATAGCAACACCATAATTGTGTGCGCGGGTGCGTGTGCTGCCCCCTGGCAAGCTTCTCATCGCGTGTTTTTGCGTCTGCGTCGCAGGACAAGCTCCCGGCGGGCGGCGAACGATGTGGAAGGTTACACGGCGCACTGGCTGGAGGGAGACAAGGCCGGCTACTCAGGGTGTAGGGATGTACACGAAAGATGCACTCTGCTCATCAAACACGGCATAGGTGAGAAAGGAGGAGGGGGGATGGAGGAGAGGAGGGCTGGAGGGGAGACACGACCAGTTACTCAGGTGTAGGGATGTACACGAAGACTGCAACCTCTCTCATCAAACACCGGCATAAAAAGGTGGAGAAAAGGAGGGATGGGAGGAGGAGGGCTGGAGGAGGAGGAGAGAGGAGGAGGGGAGACACGGCCGGCTACTGAGGTGTAGGATGTACACGAAGACTGCAGCTCTCTTCATCAACACGGCATAAGGTGAAAGAGAGGAGGGAGGAGGGGCTGGGGGGAGGGGAGGGGAGGAGGGGGCTGAGGGAGACACGGCCGGCTACTCAGGTGTAGGGATGTACACGAAAAGACTGGCCGTCTCTCCATCACAACACGGCATAGTGAGAAAGTGAGAGGAGGAGGAGGGCTGGAAGGAGAGGAGGAGGAGGAGGAGGCTGCGAGGAGACCAAGGCCGCTACTCAGGTGTAGGGATGTACACGAAGACTGCACTCTCTCCATCAAACACGGCATAGGTGAGAAAGGAGGAGGGGGGATGGAGGAGGAGGAGGGCTGTCTCCCTCTCTCTCTCTCACTCTCTCTCTCTCTATCGATCTATCTATCTATCTAGCTATCTATCTATCTATCTATCTATCTATCTATCTATCTATCTATCTATCTATTTCTCTCTCGCTCTCTCTCTCTCTATCTATCTATCTATCTATCTATCTATCTATCTATCTATCTATCTATCTATCTATCTACCTATCTATCTATCTCTCTCCCTCTCTCTCTCACTCTCTGTTTACTCACCTGAAATGTTTCATCATCCGCCGGTTGACATCTCTCCCACTCGAGCGAGTCAATAAATTGCGATTGAGAGACGAAATGCAGGTGGTGCGTTTTTCTCGTCACTTTTAGGCTGAAATGCAATTAAAGCCGTTTCATCGTCAACGCACCAGAGAACGCTGCCGATAGATGCGCTACGATCACGCTTTTCGTTTCTCCAACAACCTCCTTTCCCCTCTCCTTTAGCACCTTTCCCCTCTCCTTTAGCACCTTTCCCCTCTCCTTTAGCACCTTTCCCCTCTCCTTCTTCTTTACTCTCGAACCTCAGAAGATGACGGGATGAGAGTAAAATCTTTCTTTTCGTGATGTGTGTCATGTTATGTGTTATGTGTTATTCGTCATCTGTTATGTATTATGTGTTATGTGTTATGTATTATGTGTTATGTGTTATGTGTTATGTTATATGTTAATTATATGTGTTAAGTATTTGTTATGTGTTATGTGTTAGCATAGCCGCAGCGAGTGTGTACATGTCAGCGAGCAGCAGCAACGAGCGGCTGCTACGAGCTATGTCGCTGGCCGAGGTATGCACTCTCCGTGAGTGCCCTTTGTCTAGTTTGTTATGTGTTATGTGTTATGTGTTATGTGTTATGTGTTATGTTATGTTATGTTATGTTATGTTATGTTATGTTATGTTATGTTATGTTATGTTATGTTATGTTATGTTATGTTATGTTATGTTATGTTATGTGTGTTCGCCCTGCATTCTCATCACCATGTCGTTAGAGCTTCTGCAGGCATTTTCCGGCGCGACTACGCGACATACCTCAAGCAAAAAACAACGATCGACTTTCGAGAGTAATATTTCTACATCGGTAGCTCTAACAGAGAAAAACAGAAATCGTATTTCTCATCAACCTGACAACGCTTCGGTTGATACGCTGATAAAACAGAAGCTTTAAAACCGATCAGAGGGCCAACCGTGGCGAGCCGAAAGAGAAACATATAGCGCTGAAGCTTAACTCGGCTTCTGTAGAGCTAACTGCAGCTCTGCGAGGCAGGTTTTACAAAATAACCCATTCTTCCTGCTCGGGAATCAGAAGGATAGATTCATCAAAGGTAATCCGCACGACAGGCGGACGTAATCAGGGTCCGTTGTCAGGAAGAAAGTTAGTCTTAACGTTTGTCTTAACTTTTTTCTTAACCCTTTCTCGTAGACCGCTGATAGACCCGTGGTAATGTGGTAATGTTACTACTTAGTATTAAAACCTAGTTTCTCATAAAAGAATAAATTAATGTTAACACTAATGTTAAGACTAGTCTTGTTTATGACACTAGGCTCGAAGCTGTGACCCTTAGGTAGGATTTCTACGTGCGTCCGAATAGGTGTCAAACTAGAGACGCAGTATATAGAGGTCCGGTTTACGAGAAAATGCAAACGTTAAGACTAATGTTAAGACTGATGTTCCGTAGTCCGTAATCCTCTCACTCTGGTCCGTAACTGGTAGGCGGCCCGTAGCTTTCACCAGCGGTAGATTTCACCGTAGATTTCACCGTAGCTTTTACCAGCGGTACATGGTTGTCCTGGTGGGCGCCGCGGTTTAGTTCTTAGCGAGACAAACAGCGCTTACAATAGTTTGTTCGCCTGATTCATCTTACGAGAATGTTGATTGTTATTAGGCCGCTTGTAATTAGCGTAATCAACGATGCGCGTGAGCATCGTGTTGCATTTACCCGCCAGTGTACGTGTGCGTTCGTTATGACGCCTATTGTTATTATTCTCTTTCTTTCTCTCTCTCTCTCTCTCTCTCTCTCCCTCTCTCTTTCTCTCTCTCTCTCTCTCTCTCTCTCTCTC